AGTTACTATGTCAAATTCTTTAGGCAGTTAGTGGGGGAGGTCAAATGTCCTCAGAGAAAACAACCAAGGTAAAGAGATAGATTTCAGGGTGGCCAAATCTTGATCTCCCACAGTAGTAATGCCACTACTATTATTCGTGCATGTGTTTATCCAACTCTTAATTAAAACAATGCTGCTAGGTCAGAGTTCATTTTTCATTACATTACTAAACCTTATTGATAATATAGCTTCATGGATAATTACAGCATAAACTATAAACTAGGTTATTATCTTGGCATAGAAAAAGAATGAGAGTTTATTGAGAAATATTATGAAGTACATTTTTTAAAAATTTTAAGTTTATTTAGAGACAATATTAATTTTAAGAAGACAATAGAGCTAAATCTAATACTAAAATATACAAAGTACATATTTGGCTTAAACAGTATCTCACCACATGTATTTACTGGGTTTGGGGGTTCTAAAACCTCTTTCAAAGCTCAGCAGCTGAACAATTGATCAGAAAGCATCCAATCTTAACAAATGTCCTAGAATTTAAGTGTGAATAATCTGCTCAACTGTATGTAACAGATATATTTGGAAAGAGTTCCAAAGTTTTACACAGTGCCGAGTATATTAGTAGTGTTAATGAACACTAGACTACCTTAGAACCTTAGATATCTTCCAGTATCCGTGGTACTATTGTTTCAAGCCCCACAGAGGTTTAAATAATTTGAAATCTATAGCAGCGGATCATATAAAAAGAAAAGCAAAACTTTTCCCCTATTACAGGAAGGCAATGTGGGGCAGAAACAAAGTCTATGAGCGTCAGACTGCCAGGGTTCAAATCCTACTGTTGACACTTACTAGCTGGTACAATCTGGTCAAGTTACTTAACATTCTCGTATCTCAGTTTCTTTACATGTAAAATGGCAGTGAAAATACCAACTTCATAAGGTTGTTGTATAGATTAAATGAATTAATACAATCAAGTCACTCAATAAATGTTAGTTTTATTTTACTACTCTGCCCTACAGACAATTTGCAAATATTGAGCTGTACAGTGAGGACAAAAATCTCTATTTTGTCACATGGAGGTTATATTCAGAAGCAACCAGAAGAGAAGATAATTCCTCTTTAGAGTTCAGGGAATTATTAGGGAATTAGGGAATTATTGCTGATTTCTTAAACTTGGGTCCAAGGTCCATACCCCTTTGATGCATATGGTACAGGAATTCCCCAAACAGGATGGTCAGTGAGTGATTTGGATTTCAGAATTCATGTGAGTAGTTGGGAATTCATCTCAATTCTCCTTAGTGCACCCTAATTCTTTCTCACTTTTTTTTTTTTCGTGAGGAAGATCAGCCCTGAGCTAACATCCATGCTAATCCTCCTCTTTTTGCTGAGGAAGACCGGCTCTGAGCTAACAGCTATTGCCAATCCTCCTC